TCATTGGGCACGGAGATACACTCAATTGTACTTGCAGCAAGGTATTTGTATACTGAGTGGAAAAATACAATTATATCATAATTTACCTAATTTATTTTCGATGCCAACTATATCTTTAATAAGTCTATTATAAATATTATTATTATTATTATTAACATTATACAATAAATAATTATAAAAATAGAGCTGCTGACTACAAAAAATAAATCACATATTTCATCATACAAAATTACAATAAAATTATTTTACTGTAATTTATCTATAATTTATAGTCATTTTCAGTGCTATTTATATGTTTTTTTTGTTGACAGAATTATAAATATAATTATTTACTCACAATTGTTACTAACGTATAGAACAGTAACTACCCATCGACCACAGCATCGACGTTTGCAGCAATATTGCTACAACGTTGCAACATTGCATATTGCAATGCAATGTTTCAGAAACATTGTTAAAATGTAGATATGCAACATTATTTTAATAATGTTGCAGCAATATTAAAAAAAATTTTTTCAAATAAACTACTGATTTTATGCTTCAATACTTGTGTATGTGTGTATATATACATTTTATAATCATACTATTTAATATGATTAGATAAGGTTATACAAGATTATATGATTATATAAGGCACTCTAAAAATTAAAACGTTACTTAAGTCATGAGTAACCTGTGCGATTGTATACAAATGTCAAAAAATAAAGAAATAATATAAATATAAATTCGCAATTACGTTATCAATAATGCATTATATATAATACATGTTTTATATAATATACAATAGTATATATTCTATATAGTATGTATTACATTATAATATAATATAATATACATTATAATATAATTATAATATAATATACATTATTAATCAATGACGCATCGCAAATTTATTTATGTAATTATTTTTGCAATGTTTAGCATTTGTATATATGTCCCACAAATTATTCGTATAAATGAAAAAGATCAATTATTACAAAATTACAAAGTATTGTATAATATATATTAAATTGTAATATTGATGCAATATTGCATTACAAGATTTCTAAAGACGGACATTTTACCGTTGCTGCAATGTTACTACCTTGCAAAGAAAGATTTCTGCAACATTGCTGCAATCTTTCTGTCCTGTATGGGTATAAACTATAAAAAAAGAGCCTAACTATAATTATTTTATCATAATTTAATTATAATTTATAATCATTTTCGGTGCTAACTGTATATATTTTTTGACAGAACTAAAAAAATATAATAATTATTATTAACATTATAGCAGTAATAATTATAAAAATGGAGCTCCTAACCATAATTATTTTACCATGCAATTAATCACAAATACCAAACACTTTTCTCATCGACAATTTCCCAAGCGGTTTTGATCACGCGGATCAATAATCTACATCGAAGTGAAATGAAAATCGAAGCGAATGAGACAGACATGCGATAACTTTCATAGATACGCGGACGAAAAGTCAAGGTTTTCGAAATTCTCGAGTCGCCTCTCGCGCGAAACTTCCGCGTGTCAGAGAACGGAATACAGGTATCAAATTTTTATTTGGTCACTGAATATTAAACAAGGATAACATGATACTCGAAGAGCACTCGGACGAAAATCTGAGTCCCAAAAGAAGGAAATAACTTTGAACGTTTCTTTTGGAGTGGCATTTTTTGAATGACGGACGACTCGTGGTCCTCGCATGGGTTCACAGATTTCCGCACGAGATTGTCGAAAAGAAAATTAAGGAAAGCCGACGATTGGCTGAGTCGAATGTCAGGCGAGCGTAGAAGCGGTGCCGATTGGCCGCGCGCGCGCGCGGCGTGACGCAGCGTGGCGCGATGCAGCGCGGACTGTGACCCCCCTGGATCCCCCTGGATCCCCTGGACCCGCCATACCAACGACCTCGACGATTCTGGTCGACGTGTTGACGTTTTCGTTGCGAGAGAGGTCGCGTGTCAACACTCGCCGATCTGACTCTGGCGCGAAGGCGCTTCGCCTCGCAGAAATTTATCTAAACGCGTGAATGAGAGGAGACGCAACGTCGACTCACCGATGACGAATCTTGCGCGCCGGAGCAACCCGCTGCTTCTCCTGGAGGTTAGGTTCGTCCCTTCGCTCTTGGTCTGTCATTCGAGACGAATCGGCTATTTCGCGAAGGGATCGAGATTCGTTCACCGTGCTTCGTCGACCACTTTGATCGATTTCGATGCTTCACCTGGGTGACGCCGGTCGTTCGCCGAGATCGCTTTGCGACGAGCCGAGTCACTGTTACCGCGTGACTAATACATGTATATGTAATTATTTTTCTTTCACATAGACGTCAGACGATCCCTACATTCGCTACTGAATCACGCGCAATCGCGCGTAGTGCGAACGTAAAAAAAGATACGAATACACCGACATGCCGTGCCACTGTATCGTTCGCGCTCGTCCTTACCGATTGAGATGTACGACGCATACGTTATTCAGATCAATGCAGGTGCGGCGCACAAATACGCCGTCTACGCAACGTCTGAATTACAAATTTCATTGATATGTTCGGTAGATAAATAGACGCGGCGATTATTCACAGGAATAATGGAGATATTTTATCGTATTTCCAAGCACATCTAAAAAAAAACCATTTAAAGATATTTACAATATTTAAGGACGTTCAAGGACGTCCCAAAAATAGATGCATTCAGAAGCGACAATTGCTCACTGAGTAAAAAAGAAATTAATCAGAGAGTAATCCCTTTTTTACTCAAGTGAGCGATCGTCGCTTCGAATGCACTCAATGTAACGTCTAGACATTCTATTGTTTAGTACCCCATAAAAAATTTTTCATAAATATATAATACATACATGTATAAATATGACGGACGTATTCATAAACATATATGATTATATATGAGATATATATATGTTCATCATCCTTGTTTCATTTGTAAAATTATTTTTTAGTGTATTAAAAATAATAATAAGAAAACATAAAAAAATAATTAAAAGTGAAATTTTCACATTGTTTGTTTTAGAAAAAATCAAGTTTGAAGAGATGTAAAAGAATTGCTCATATAATATGAGCAAATTTTTTTGCATTTTTCCAAACTTGGTTTTTTCTAAAACAAACTGCGAAAATTGTCCCATGGACATTTTTGATGTTATCTCAATATTATTATTTTTAGTACACTAAACAGTAATTTTACAAAAGAAAGAAAGATATCGTATGGACATATTTCACGTGTAATTATTGTTTATGAATATTTATGCGTGTTTAGGCATGTTAATATACATATTTGTATATATTCATGAATAAAAAATTTTTACCATGTAAAGGATTCAATAGAGCTGCACCAGAGAGAAACCTGAAAGTGGGTCTATCGTGTCTTCAGTGTATGTGTAATACAAATATTTCATAAATAAGAATGCATATTTATGACGTAATAATGTCTTATATTATCATAAAATGCTCTAAAGTTTTTTCTATACCCAGATAGCACAGAATATTTACGATAAATATTTATTAATATTTATTTTTTTAAATGTTATATAGATATTTCATACATATTTTATATAAAGCTTTATTCGAAATATTATTAAAACATATAGACGAAATATTTTATGCAATTTTTATGATAAATATAAATAAATATTTCTAATAAATATTTTTTACTTGGATTATAATGTCTCATTAAGTA